CGCATAGCTCAGGCGACAGCGCCAGCCCCGGGCCCACAGCACAAGGCGCTCGGGCGGCCCCAGCCCCGGCCCTAGGGCACATGCCGGCGCCGGGTGCAAGGGCATCCCAGTCCCCTGGCGTGCTCCCAGATGCGCGGCCCCGCCCCCAGGCGCCCGGCGCATGAGTGGCGCCCACCCCCGGGAGCCTCTAAAGGTTGGGGACCACTGGTATAAACTAATTTTAATGCCCCAGTTTTTTAGTGCTTAAGTTTTCATACACCAGTCCACTCAAAAACTTGCATCAGATTTTAGTTTTTGTAAAGGAAAAAATAAGGATCACTATGATGTACTTGCAACACAGGCTTATTTTTAAAGTCTATTTAGGTCTCAAGTGAATTGTGCTGTACAGAGAACAGCACTGTTGTGCATATACGTTTTGAAAACAAAGTCTATCCAGTTGGATTCATTATGAAACTGGGTAATTTCTCTCACCTATGCAGGAAACATAACTATCTTAAGACTAGTGTAGTAAACATCCGCTGTTATTCTAGTCAAGGAATCTCTGAAAGAGACCTCTTTGTTAATCTAAATACAACGCGTTGTACAGATTGTCTAGTTATTTTGTGGCTCATCGCAGTAGCATTCAAACACTTCTGTTTATATTCTCTCAGTCCAACTCACTCACACACATAGAAGCTTACAAGATAAAAACCGCAGGAGGTTCTCTTTGGAGACCGGGGCATATTAACCAAATCCTATTTATTCTGCTGTGCACATGCACAGCTAATCATCAGCATTTGTGAGAGTTAAAGTGCCCATGAAGGAAAGAAATTACCCTTATTTGTATACTTAAAAATGGTGGTTCGCCGCTGCCAGATGAGGAAACACAGACGAACCGTTTGCAAACGTCATATATTAAAATGCTTCCCTAGTGTGAAGATGCCATGTAGAGAAGCGTGCGACTCCTCACTTCTCACGCAATGCTGGCGCGGCACCTGTGCTGAACCAGTCAGAGGCGCAGAGGCACAAAAACGAAACGCCAAGCGGCTACATCTGCCTCAAGGAAAAGCCTGACGGCGGCATGGCACGAGGCACCTCCTGCAGGAGCCGCTCGCACGAGGAAGCGCCCCGGCCCGGCGTGGCTGTGCGCTCCCGCTCACTGGGGCTGGCTCCAGGCGGAGCCCGCAAGATGCCGGCTGCGCGCGGTGGCCG